GCAGGATGATCATAGGACAGTGGTTGGAAGGTCTTGTGGATCCAGTGGCAGTGGAAGCATTTCCGTGCTGGCAGGGGTCTCCACGTGGCTTCTCCAGCTCCAGGGCTCTAGCATAGCTCCATGTGTCTTGTCAGCTGGAAGATGAAGTAGTGAGTGTGTGTGTCCCACCTCCAGGGAAGAAGAAAGGAGTTCCCAGAATCCTCAGGAGAAGGCCATGCCCACACAGGGGCCTCATTGGTTATGACCTGATTGACAGGCTCGACTCCACCCCTTCTCAAATCGACAGGATACGTAACTGGCACATCCAGCTTCTCAAATTATTTGCTCAGCATACAGATTAAGAATGGTGAAGGGATTCAATGCTGATGCACAACTTTCCTGATTTTAAACCATGAATTCCCTTGTTCTATTTGAATGACTGCCTCTTGGTCCATCAACAGGTTTCACAGGAGCACAAGGAACTGCTCTGGAATTCCCTTTCTTCTCAATATTATCAGATCATTCTGGGTGACCGGGTTGGTATTTGAAATATTTGTGACATTGCTTCCAACAGAGCAACATACCAGCCTCCATAGTACAAGAAATTGACAGATGAGTTGTGAGTCTTATATAGTAATACTGATGTTCTATGGTCCCCCAGGAGATTTTGACTTTGTTGAAGGTAGAAGTTGTTTGGTGCCTTGCAAGGCTTTGATGGCATAGTGGGTTTCACATTGACCTTTTAACCTTAAAAGTCATCAGTTTGAAACCACCAGCCACTACTCAAGAGAAAGGTGAGGCTTCCTATTTCTGTAAAGAGTTATAATCTCGGGAACCCACACGAGTAATTCTCTGTCCTATAGGTTCACCATCAGTCAGAATCAATTGATAGCATTGCATTTATTTTATTCCTAACAGAGTGGGGATCCTATATGGATTTGTTAATGAGGGATGGAGGAAGACTAATGAGAGTGACACTGATCATGAGAAACCCCAAACTCACTGCCTATAGAGTCGATTATGACTCATAGCAACCCTACAGAGTGGAGTAGAACAGCCCCTCTGCATTTTTGAGACTGTAACTCGTTATGGAGCGAGAACGACCTTGGAGTTGCTGCTGGTTTCAAACTACTAACCTCAGTTAGTAACCCAGCACATTTCATTACACCACCAGAACTCCTAAGCATCAGGAAATAAGCTAGAAATAAAAGCTCTTAAAGATATTATTTAGAAGGGAAGGATAATAGTCATTTTTAGCAGGCTAGGTACAAGAAAGTTGGCTAGGGTAGAGAAGAACAAATAAATTTCACAAAGGCTACATTGCAGAAATTAAAAGCATAAGTGAAAAAATTATAAATCAAGGGCCAGGAATTCATAATGAGAAAAATATGATATCTTCTTGAATTTTTAGTCTATTGTAACCAGCCTCCCCTGCCACATTTATAAAGGTCTTTTTTTTTTAAATCATTTTATTACGGGCTCATACAGTTCTTATCACAATCCATACATCCATCCATTGTGTCAAGCACATTTGAACGTTTGTTGCCATCATCATTTTCAAAGCATTTTCTTTCTACTTGAGCCCTTGGTATGAGCTCCTCATTTTTTCCCTCCCTCCCCACCCTCACGCCCTCTCAAACCCTTGGTAATTTATAAATTGTTATTATTTTTTAATGTCTTACACTGACCGATGTCTCCCTTCACCCACTTTTCTGTTGTCCATCCCCCAGGGAAAGGATTATATGTAGATCATTGTGATCGGTTTCCCCTTTCTACCCCCATCTTCCCCTTAACCTCCTGGTATCGCTACTCTCGTTATTGGTCCTGAGGGGTTTCTCTGTCCTGGATTCTCTGTGTTTCCAGCTCTTATCT